TAATTCCACGACTCAGTATCACTCTCAGCCTTGTCTCCACTGTTCACTCCTGGGTTCCTTCTTTTAAGAGTGCTCCCTTCAGCCAAAGCCTTCCAGGTTTGGGTTAGAGTTCAGAGCAGGACCATTACACAGAGCAGGTGAACCAAGACGTGCTTGGCCTTTTTCAAGCCTAAGGAGCCCTCAAAGCCACCTCAGAAGGCTTTGCTGCATCCACTCACACGGCCTCATTTTATGCCCCAAAACATCTCGGAGCTGTCCTCAGGGTCAGGCTATAAAAATGCTGCTTTAGTGGCTGGCAGCACATCATTTCCTGGTGCTTCACCTGCAGCTCTGGCTGCAGCGTCACCGCACGGGGTCACACGTCGCGTGACGTGGCCGTGAACGGCACAACCCCCCGCTCAGCGGGGACATCAGTCACCGGGGACATCAGTCACCGGGCACCCTTTGGGCTGGGAAGTGGAGAACAGTCCTTGATCCCCGGTGAACTGAGAGGATTGATGTGCTGTGCCCACCTCTCCTCGTGCACACACGGCACAGAATGCAGATGGACTATACAGAGATGAGCTGCCCACACTGAACTGCAGTTATGGAGCCACTTTGATGCCTGCACTTGTCCTCTAATCCACTTCAGCTGGGCTTTTTTTCCAGCTTTGCACAAACGAACTGCTTCAAACAGCGTCTTTGCTTTTTTTTCTTTAGTCCATAATTAGCAGGGCTGAGGTTTAAGAGAAGAAATATTTAGTCCTGGAACAATGACAGAAGTAAAAATGAATACTGTATCACCCAGCAAAGCCAGACACAGGGTTTCTGACCTCCATAAAAACCCTTTCCCTCTATTTCCAGTGAGACACTCTCATATATATCTCTGCAAGCTGTGTCAAGGCCCCTTAGAAATTTTTCTAATACATTCATTATAAGTTCTGTATCCCTCTCCCTCTCTCTGAGGTCAGCCAGTTCCTTTGGACTGAGGAGTTAAAGGTTCAGGAATATGAAAAACAGTATTGATAACACTCCTGAAACATTAACTGTGATATATTTAACCGACCACTGCATTTCTTCTGGAGGCTGTGATTTTCCAAACTTTGCACTAACAAGCTTCTTAGAGCAACCACAGAGCCCTGAGCCACAGCTGAGGGACAGTAAAATCCACAATTACAGCTGACCAAGGCTTTCCTAATCAGAATCCATGCTAAACATCACACCACAAATGCATAAGACGATGGTGTGTTCCTGCAGCTACCAATTTATAAAGTAGTAAATTCTATTTATTTGATTTTCATCTTTTCTTAGAGGCTTCCGAAATACTTCTTTAAAAAAACGTATTTATTGCAATGTTTTTGTTTTCACATTCCGGTTATTTATGTCTATAAGGCCTCTGAGTTTCTTCTTGATTTCTGTGAGACTATTCCCTCCATCAAAGGGCATTTCAGTTGCTACTATGGATTGAGATTATTGGCATGTGAGCTCTGTCTTGTTGCACAGACATAGGGAGGGAGGAAAATGCAAAGGAAATGGTCAGTAACATAAAAAAGCAACATATCCCAGCTATGCACTATGCACAGTACACCATATAGTGCATTTGGCTCATTAAAAAAGAATAAAAAATGTAAAATTTGAGATTTTATTCCACTTCCCATTCCCTTCAGGTGTTATTAACCTGTGTGCTTTGTCCCTCTACTCCTCACTTAACAAGCCCTTAAACTTTTGAATCCTTGGGTGGGAATTTGACATCACACCTGCACATCTAAGTGCTGTTTTCTAGGTGCTACAGGAGCACAGCATGTTAAATAACCAGTCATTAATGTCAAAAAATCAAGCTTTACCATACATTTTTGGCATTAATTTTATAAGTGCCATAAAACAAGCTTTTTACTGGGTAGTTTTGGTATATAATTTCTTCCACAAGAAGAACAGTTTCCATGCAGTTAACACATGTGGCAGGGTAAGGAAGCATAAAAACAACATCACTGTAAAATTCATACTAAATGATGGAAATAATAACCAGAATAAGTGTAATTTGAGTCTCAGCCTGAAACAACAGGCAGGGAGTTGAGCAGTGCTGAAGCACCAAACTGCAAAGGGAAGCGCTCGAAGCCTGAGGACGAGCAGGAAAAGGGGAGGTGCGACTGCTTTTAGTCAAAAAATGCACTTGCCAGGAAGAACAGAAGGGTTTGAAGGAGTTGGTGTGACACTAATCAAGGGATTTCATGGCTGTTGAGCTGCGGGCTGTGCAGAGCCGGGCTGTGGAGGAGGTGTGAGGGAGGGGGCGGCTCAGGTACGAGGGACGCTCGCGCGGGGAGGCGACGGACATCTGTGGATCTTCCATGGGACAAGCCCTGCAATTTTCCAAGTAGAAGCAGCGCAGTGTTATTTAGCACAGGTGTCTCTGTAATTGTGGAGAGGAATCGGTGCTCAGTGGCCCTCAGCCTCACCCTCCCACCCGTGTAATGCGACAAGTAGTTGCGACGCAGGGAAAGGAGAAGTCGGGAAGAGCATTTTTAGCTCCTCACCGACTCTCCCGGGTGACAAATATTTATTCAAGTGCAGTTTCTGTTCGAAACCAAGTTTTCTCAAATGGGAAAACACAATAAATTTAGCTCCTCTACAGTTTCCTGCTCATGCAGTAGAAGCCATCCTGAGATGTTTCTGTTCCTTTCAGAGGTAATTATGTCCCCCACATATAAAGGTTTGTCAGACCTATATAATCTTTCAGGATTTTTCACTCCAGCTACTGGAGTTTTAGAAACAATGAAATTCCTTTCTGAGGACAAATGACATGAATAAGTCAAAGAGTAATTTCAACATCAGCAGTAGGTACCAAGCCCTCTGTATTCCAGTTCTATCCTAGCACATAAATATGTGAACCCACAAAACTCCAGACTGAGAGAGAGTAAAAAACTTCATGTTCAAGGGAAGCAATACTTCTGCCATAAATCTACAGGTAGAAATCTCACAAAAAGAGGGAAATTTGTTTACTCTTCCTTTGGAGGATTTTCTTTTCCCTTTCCACCACTTACATAGCTACTTGAGAAAGTCAAAATAAAATATTTAGAGGATTAGGCAGAGGTAAACGTGCTCTCTAGGAGATCAACTTGCTCACACACACGTTAATAACTTCTGATTGATTGACTGATGCTACAGTAAACCAAATATGAAATAAGAAACAACCAAGTCCAATATCCCCCTGAATTCATTACTGTCCATCATCTGGAGCTGAGGATTGACTCACACCCAACAGTGTTCCCTGGCTGCACAAGGCACAGCATCACTACACCTGTCCAGGGGAAATCAGAAGGAATTACAAGTGTAGCCTCCAAAGTCCCTTTGGGTGCTCCTGTTGGACAGGCCACCTATTTCCAGCCAGAGTTCCTGGGTGAGAGGAGCCCAGAGGTCCCACCAAAGATTTGGCAAATCCCTTCCTGGCCTCTGTGAAACGGAGATGGGCAGAAACATCAAAGCAGTCACCCAAAAGCTCTCTCTTGAAAATGTAGAAACAGTTAAAAATTCCAAACCTAATGGTGGTTTCAAGCTTTCTTACTAGTTCTGGTTGTTAAGGTTACATGCAAATATTGCTGCCCTTAAATCCACGTCAAATATATGACTGGAACTACAACCAAATTGCTATCTTCCTAAACTCCACCTTCAGCTCAAAACACTCCAGCAAGTGAGATAAATACCAGCAGGGAGCATCCTCTGGTTTAAACACAAGCAGACACACACACATTCAAACACCTTTAATGACAAACACACTAAAAGAAATGCTCAAAAACCTCACTAGTTTTTAAACCTACAGAAAATGAGGAGGAAAAAACTAGAGTGAAGCTGTTTAGTCTGAAAACAGGTATTTTACAATACAGGCAAGCACACAGTTTATTGTGCATTAAAACAGCACAATCTTTTAAAAGGGTTTTTTGGGTTTTTTTCTAAGAAAGAAGGTAACATATTTGCTCTGTGTGTTCTCATCCTCTCAGATTTCAGAATAACTCTCCTCTAGCAGCAATTGGACCCTGCTATGCAGATCAATTAGGAAACAACACTATCATTAGAAAACCCCACACAGAAGAGCAACGTGGGGTTTTGCAGTGAGTCTATAATTGTGCCAGCCTCAAACATCCAGAAAAGGCAGCCATGGGGAAGCTGACCATGCATTTCTTGTGAAACACAACAAAATCATCCCAAATTCTCTTTAGAACTAAACATCCCATTTAAAATATAAAACACCAGTTAATAAGATACTTGTTCAAAATCGATAATTCGGATTTTTTTCAATAAGTTTTCTATTAGCATTCCCCCATCCCCCTAAATACCATTATTTTTTCCCAGCTGTATAAATAGTCTTAGAGAGTGTGGCCTGAATGAATGCACCGTTCAGAAAACAACATAATTACAACCGTTTCCAGCAAACTGGGTGCCAAGAAAGTTACAAATTAATTGAAGGTTAGCACTGAAAATTAAATCCTAGTCAGCTTGAAGTCATTTTTTTTTAGGTTAGTTTATGTAAAATTAAATAGGAAGTTCAGTCTTCCAGTGTTCCATCAGCTGAGTGGAGAGATTTTTAAGGTTCAGCTGAACAAGTTGTTTGTCCTGTTCTGTCATGTGAACAAACATCCATTTCTCCCTGTGGGCATTTCTTCTTCTCAGCCTGTTTTCCAGGTTCTCCAAATGGAGAGACCAACAAAACTTTGGGGTTCTCTCCCAGTCCTCCTGGTTATGGACTCACTGAAGAAGAGAGAAGAACCTATTCAGGTTGACCTTACTCATTATGAAGTAAGTTTTCACCTTCTAGTTCACAAGCACACACTTCTGGTTTTGACCCTTTTTGTTCTTTTGTGTATCTTTTATGTATCTCCAAAATGTAATGGCTAAAAACTTTTCTTTCCAGTGTACTAGAAAAAGCAAGAAAGCAGACAGCAAGACTTCAGAACCCACAGTTTCAGGTATTTCAGATCTTTCCATGGAGTCCAAACACTAAAAAAAAATAGCAAGAAGAAAATATTCACCATGCCAGCATCAAGGAACTCAATTAAATTCCCACAGTTAAGTTCAGAAAACCTCTTCCATCCATCCAACTTGGAAGCAGCTCTGGAACTGTTATCCTACTCGTTCCTTTGATCATCCCTTTGTGGAAGCACAGTATCTGGAGATGAAGAATCAGGTGGATTTTAATACATCAGAGAGGGGCTGGCACTTAAAATCTTAAATCAATTCCCAGAGTTATCTGGAAACATATTCTTACTTTACATGAAATCCCAAAAGATTCCTTCCTAGAAAGCTCTGCCCACATGGTTCTGTACACTCACTATCCATGCTGGGCAAAACATTCCAGCAGGATCTCAGCCATTAATCCCGAGTTTCAGTGTTTTGCCTGAAAGGGATACAAACAGGCCCACGTTGAGAGGTAAAATCCAGGAGGTTTCCCTTTCATTTCCAAAGAAATGAAGCTTTTGGTCCAAGGAGGATGAGGCTCTGTTTAGTTTCCTCCTTCTCTCCCAAATCAAAGTACCTCCCTAAGGAGACATCTTGTGCTAGTTAGATTTTCCCCTCCCTTTGGGAACCTGCTAAGCCCTCCTCATCCTAAATAAATTCCATCTTTCATCTCCCAGCTCCCAGGAAACTGCTGTAACCACCAAGCTGAGAATGGACAACCACTGCCTCCCCCCCTGTCTGCTAACAGCAAAGGAAAAAGGTGCCCTGGAAGAAACATTAATAAAGGAGCCCAAAAAGGCAGTTCCTGAGGGGACAAGGCATTCCTGGGGAAGGAAGAGGCCAGGGGTTGGGGGTCTGCTCTGTGGGGTTTTTATTCTTGTCTGTTGACTGTCCAACAGTGAAGGCAGAACAGAGAGAATCCCTCTCCTCCCCTGCTCCTACATCAGCGCCCAAACCCAACACATCCAACTTTAACACTCACCTGGCACTGCCAAAGTTACCAGTGTAACATCCCAGCAACGAGAATCTCACCATCCAAACTGCCAAGGCAGGCGAAAAAAGACATTTCCCATTTGTTTCCTGAGCTACTATTACTCTAATATTCAATTGAAATATTCTGGTTGAGCCTAATTAGCTTTTAGGGATTTCAAACCGTAATTGGGGAAGCTTTAGGTCAAAAGGCTGTTCCACAGAAGGCCTGAATTTTGAAAACCTTCCCGGCAAGTATTTTCTGACATATCCTCAGCCTCTTCAGCCTCCCGTTTTCACTGCTCTTTTTTTTCTTTTTTTTTTTCCTCCCCGTGAAGGGTACACAAAGGGCATCGAAAACTTTAGTCAATAGATCCATTATTATGATTGGCTGAAAACCATAAAATGCATTCATCAAGCCATTGTGTTGCATCTCGTGCTAAATTCCGGTGATAAATAGTGCCTGTGGCGTGACGTCACCCGCTAATCTATTCCGAGAGCCATTCCCGCTGCCATTCCGCATCACTCACAAAATCCCCCGCATGACACGGCCCGGCAAGACTCTGCTGCTCTGTGGAGACAAATATTTTCTGTTGCTTTTATGTCCTATTGTGAAACAATTGTTTTTCTGGTTCCCGGAGTTACCCCAAGCGTGCAGTAATGTCCTCAGCTACCAGCTCTGGGCATTGCAGCTCATGTACTTTTAATTGTTTACAACTTCCATCAGAACTGGATGGAGTCCATTTGTACTCATATTGTTTTATCACTACGGGATGATACATTTTGCCACCTTCTTCTAGGTCAAAATTGAATCCTATGGAGAGTCTTTGAACGGAGAACTAATATTCACAGGAGCTGAGCTGGGGATGTATAGCAATTTTATTATTATGTTTGGGATTTTGCTTTGAATTTAGACAAATCTTTCTTGTATAATTAGATTTCATAACACTTGAATTACAGCTTACAAAAACAACAATGAACAAGAATAAAAATATTTGGCTAAAATTACTTTAAATCAAATGATTGCCTATGAAAACAAAGAACACTACCAGCTTTAGGGTTTTTTTCATGTTTCCTTATTATTATACATCCATCTTATCTTTTGTTCAAATAAACTGTCTTTTTTTCTTCCCTCATTTAGTAAAGAACAGAAGAGATGGGATAAGTCAGGGCCAGCTTTTATAAGATATTACTCTTACATTTTGTCACTAACTGAAGAAAACGAGGGATATATTCTAAGGATTGCAAAAATACCTTGCATTTACAAGGCTCATTTCAAAATAAAAAACAAAACCCAAATTGGGCTCATTTCCTACTTCCAATGGAGCAAATAAGACGTGAAGGAGCAGTGTCAAAAGCAAGAACCAACAGCAAACACATAATATCATTTCAGACTCAACATAATCTTCTTTTCTTGTTATTATCAGCAGCACAACATAAAAACAACACAAGAGAAAGCCCCTCTTCTTGCACACAACACCAAGGATCTGCATCACTCCAGGCACAGAAAGCAGATACATTTTCCCCTTCCCTTTCTCTCTGGTGTTTGCAGCACTACTAAATGTTGAATTAAGCCTGGGGGAAGTTGGCTTCAGCTCAAGACAGGAACAAAAAACCTCAGGGATGTAGGAATGATTCTTCCCATCCCCTCTGAAGAAGGGATGGACCCACGAGCAGGGGGGAGAGAAGGGGTGCTCTTATCAGCTGGACTTTGCTCGCAGCTCTGAGTACCAGCCCTTCCATGACCTCGTGGCTGGGATGCTGGACAGAGGCTTCCACATCATGCCAAACACAGACCCACCTTCTCCTGGTTCTACAGGTCAGAGGCCTCCTACATTCCAACACTCAAAAATAAAGGAAGAAGGAAGGAAATGGCTCACCAGGAGCCCAAGAGCTGTAACCACCACCTGCTCCACATCAGTGCAGTCCAGAGCGGTGGTACCATCCCACCTCCCCACTCCTGCTCCGCTCATGGAACAGCTCTCCTTGGAATCAGCAGGAGAAAGTAAAGTTCTTTCACCTGCCTGGCTAAATCACAAGGATAGAATGAGCTGCACCCAGAGAGACGCCAACCAATCTTTTCCAGACATCCCTGAAAATGCAGGAGTGGCCTGGATCCTGTCTTTAGGCACTGCCCGTCTTTGCTCCTTAGGTACTGGGTCCAAAAGGTCTGGATCGGGCCAGCACCTGGACTGGGGGAAAACCCAGTATGGATTCTGGGTGGGATCTGGAATGGGGGAAAACCCGGACTGGATTCTGACTGGGATCCAGAATGGGGGAAAACCTGGACTGGATCAGGGACAGGATCTGGAATGAGCTTGGTCCCCGTCTTTAGGCATAGCCCTTCTTTGCTCTCAAGGTACTGGTTCTAAAAGGTCCGGGTGAAAAAAGCTGAAAAGTGAAAATTATCATTCTAATATGCAAAGAAGGGATTCAGCCTTCTGAACCATTCCCACACGATTATGCAGTAGAACTACACTTGAACCTAAAGCTCCCCCATACACTAAATCCTTGTAATAGAATCCGCAGAGCTACTTAGTGCAGGAGAATAATGCCTTGTGCCCCTTTTCCCTCACTGCTGTTGGAGCTCTAACCTCCTTCCCAGTGTCATCACTTCTACTGGGAAATGATGAAAGAGGGCTCTGTGCCGTTCATAAATTGTGTGGGATTGGAAGGACTAAATACCTAAATATGTCCGAGCACTCAGCGGAAAGAGTTGAGGTGAAAGGAGGAAATTTACTTCTGGAACCCCTGAAAAGCCAAGAAAATGTGGATATACAGCTGAAGTGCTTTTGGGGAACGCAAATTGTCGACATAATTTCCAAATTCTTTTCAAATTCAAATCGCAGCTTCTGTGGAGAGCTGCTGTGCAGTACATAAGGTACTCTGGGCAGCGTCACCAGGAGCATTTATAGAAACTTTCTTTTTTCCCTTCCATTGAAAAAGTAAAGCCTGAGTATGATACATTCAAAGATGATTTGCAAAATTTTGGCTTTTGCTTATGTAAGCAGACTGTCAGCTGAAACTCCCCCCCTGAAGATGCTCGTAAGACTGGAAACCTGGAAATTTGCTTCCAGAGACTGACCAGAAGAGAACGTTTGGAAAAGATCCACGCCAGGAGAACAACGGGAATTTGATAAAAGCTGAAGCAACATGAATATTTTATTTGTGTTTGATACCTCCCAATTTATATTATCCACCCAAACCAAAGGTCTAAATGCTGAGAATCAAATGGGGATTTGATCAAATGGGGTTTGATGCAGGATTAATCCAGGGGCAGGGAAGCACCCGACCCCTCTGAAATGACTTGTTATTGTGAACAATTTTCACTGAAACTCTACCAAAACATGTGCTGAGAACAGCATTCAAATCCTAATTTTCAGAGGCACTCAGCACTTGTTTCTCCTGTGCAGAGGGTTCACAAGGGGGTAGGACTGTACAGAAGAATTAGAAATGAAATTTAAGCAGCCTTTTACACCACACCTTTGTATTTTGTACCTTCAAAACCTGATTATAGCAGGGTTTAGTTCCTCCCTGCTTCTTAAGGGTGACTGAGGCAATAAATACCACCTTGAGGAGTGTCACATGAACAAGCAGTAATTTTACATTTTCCAAACACCATATAGACATTACCTTATTGAGTGTTATTTACAGCTAGTCACAGCAGAGGATAGCAATACTTTGCTTTTCCAAGAGATGTGCTATTGCTCAATGGAGTCAAGTACACTTGTCTCATTCCACTGACTTCTGAGGGACGATTTCTCTGTGCCAAGAGATATATTTATCCCACTGTTTGCTGCCCACTGTATTTACCTGCTAAGTATCTACAGCACGAGGTGATAGTATCTATAGCACGAGGTGATAATGCACTATTGTGTTTTCAACAATCCAGAGTGCAATGGAATACACCATTAATTCTGATAGGTCTGTGAGGACACCTTTGAAAATGTTTTAAAAGACAGATTAGTGTCTCATCAAGGCAGAGATTAAGTGAAAATACTTTCAAATTTGTCATGCAGCATAGTATCTGTTGGGTTATTTATTATTTCATAGCACATGCAAAGTAATAGATCAAATACACCTTGGAGACTCCTCAGAGATATCAGTGCCTTTTAGTGCATTTAAATACGCTGGCCAGCAAAACTGCAGCCTGGAATGGTGCTTTCTTCTTAAGACAGCCCAGAGATTTTCCCTGCAGTTCCCTGACTCAGTGCACCGCAGGTCTGGGTTAGGAAAGCTGAATTCCCCCTGGACATGTTCCCGCTGGGCAGAACCACCATCCCACGGGCTGTGCTGCATCACTCACACCTCTCCTGCAGTTTAAACGTTAGACTGGGCTTTGGGAAGATGTTTTTCCACATCTCCAACTGCTAGGCTTGGATGGAGCACTGGGATGGAGCACTGGGATGGAGCACCGGGATGGAGCACTGGGATGGAGCACTGGGACAGAGCACCGGGATGGAGCACCGGGATGGAGCACCGGGATGGAGCACTGGGATGGAGCACTGGGATGGAGCACCGGGATGGAGCACTGGGATGGAGCACTGGGATGGAGCACTGGGATGGAGCACTGGGATGGAGCACCGGGATGGAGCACTGGGATGGAGCACTGGGATGGAGCACTGGGATGAAGCACTGGGATGGAGCACTGGGATGGAGCACTGGGATGGAGCACTGGCCTGCACACGCTGCAGCTTCTCCTTCACAGGCACGAGTGGGGCAGCGGGAGGGACGGAGCAGACAGCGAGGCAACGGAAAAAGAACTGAACTTCCCCTTCTCTCCTCTTCATATGATTGCACATAAGCAAATATGGGAAATAATCCCACAGCATATTGTTTGCAATATGCTCTCTTGGCCATAGGGAAGGGAAACAGTTCGGGGATTCTTTTAAAAGCAGTCAGCATGACATACAGTCTTTCTATTTTGCTTGGATGATGCCTGCCTTCTGCTCGTCTCACTTATTTAGGTTTCCAGTCCTCTTAGCAAGAGTGCTCCTCTCAAATACATTTTGAAATTTTGAAAATCCAGTAAATAGTTTAAAACAATTAAGACATTATTAATGTTCCTCCTTACAGCTTCTCGCTCCCATAACTTCCTTGCCTAAATGTTCTGCTGCAAATGCAAGGTTCCCTACCACAACATTTCCCTTTCTCCAGATACTTTGTCTGGAGACAATTAAAGAAAATCAGAATGACAGTGATTATCAAAGGCAAAAGATAATATCAGATTCAAAGAACAAAAATAGGATATAAGACCTCAAAATATCTTTACACAAATATCAAAGTTAAAAAGAAGGAAAGGGACTTAAAAAGAAATTATTAAGTGACAAAAGGCTTTTTTTCCCCGTGCCCTTCAGATCATTCATGGCATTCTGATTTGAAAGCAGGATGACAGAAAGAGTAGGAGGTTGCCTGAAATTTTACACTGGAAACAAACAGGTGCAGACAATGAGAGAAGAAGTGTGCTGAAAACTGCAGTTCTCTGCTAAGAAATGTTAATGTACAAGTCAAGCCTATCGAAGGAGAAATCGCCTCCAACAACAAAGGGAAAATGTAGATGTGACAGACAGAGAGATGCCAGGCAACAATCAAAGAAAACAGATATCTAACCTAGTTATTCAGACACACAGTATAACTCCCATTATCCTCCCATTATTATGAGGATAGTGGCATGTGCTGGAAAGTCATACACAATGTCCCAGGACACACTTGAAACACAGCAGAGAAGCTCTTGACTTCAAGGATCCTATATTCAGTCTCCAGTGAAGACACAGGGTGAGATATTACAGATCTAAAGAATATCATATAGTTAAAAGCTGTCAGAGGAGAAAAGGGGAGATCAGCTGTCTTGAGAGATAAGCTGCAAAACAGGCTCACCACAGAAATACACAGAAATTAGGACTTAACAAGGTTCCCACATGGAACACGGATACAGATGTGACACACAAAATTCGTGGTCTCTGTATTTACCGCTTAAACTTCTGTA